TTTTCATAAGTCTAGTCAAGTCACAGCTGATAGTTATGAGTCTAGTCAAGTCACAGTTGATCGTCATAAGTCAAGCTGCCTATTCTGTTCTGGCCAAGGAGGCCGTCTATGAACTCCCTGCCTGTCCTGTTCCGGCCAAGGAGGCCGTCTATGAACTCTCTGCTTGTCCTGTTCAGGATAGACTCTCTGTCTATCCTGTCACGGCTAAGGAGACTGTTTGCGAACTCCCCGTTTGCCCTGTCACAGCTATAGAGGCCGTTTGCGAACTCCCTGCCCGCCGTGGGGGTCCTCTGCTCCGCCGTGTTGGTCTATTGTCTGGCTTTGGTGGTCCTCTGCTCCGCCGTGGTGGTCTACTATCTGACTCTGGTGATCCTCTGCTCTGACGTGGTGGTCCTCTGCCCGGCCGTGGTTGTCTACTGTCTGGCTCTGGTGGTCCTCTGCTCCGCCGTGGTGGTCTACTGTCTGGCTCTGGTGGTCTTCCGCTCCACCTGTGCTGCCGGCTCCGTCCTGGCTCTCTGCTCCGCCAGTCCTGCCTCAGTGCCCAGTCTTTCCACTTCCAGGTGGCCCTCCATCCCTTCCCCTGTTCCGCCTCCACTCCACCGCCCTCCGGAATCGTAAAGGGTTTTGAGCGTCTGGAAGCCGCTCCTTGGGGGGGCGGGGCTCTGTCACGAATCCGGTCCATGAACTTCCATCTGCTAGCCATCAGAGGTCACCCTTTCCGATTTCATTGACTCTCGCACTACACACTGTTGCACATCACCCCGGACTACATATCCCATCATCCACTGCACTAACGACACACACACTGTTGATTGCACAGCACTGATTGCACAGCTGTTATCACTCACACATCCCCTATTTAACTCTCACTCTGATCCCATTGCACTGCCGAGTATTATTTAGCGCATATCCTCAGATAGCTACACTACAGAGCCCTCATTTGTGCCTTAGCCTTAGCCTTAGCCTTAGCGGTTTTCTCGGTTTCTGATCTTCGCCTGGTTTCCTGGATTTCTCCTTTAGTCTTGCCCCTTTTTGATTCTGTCTGCCGTTCATTGACCTACGCTAGCCCTAGGACTATTCTTGTGTCTTGCCCGCCATATACCTGTCTGCCACTGTTTGACCCTGCCTGCTTTATGACCACGTCTCTGTCTTCTCCAAAATAAAGCTTTGCGAATGGATCCGCACATCTCACGTCTCGTCAGCCCCGTTACACAATGGTGATTGATAGTGACTTTTAAGTAAAAGTGTTGTATTAATTGTTATGTGTATAGCTTGAAGCCAGTTGTAGCTATAATTTCCAAATATGATTATATTTCATGAAGTATTTTATCAAAAGAAATCACATAAGTTCATAAGATTTTTAATTATAATAATATAATTTATATCGGGATCAGAGGGATGTGGGTGGGTGGGCAAGCCATGGAATGTCAGAGTAAAGTAATGCCTTGAATTCCATAATGCCCCAACTTACACATCTGTGTTCAGATCACATTTTCTCTTGACAAAATCAGTGTAATGGCAATATTTCCATCCCCTGAATGTAAGCTTTTTCATATTCCAAGCTTTCCTGATGCACTGGTGACTTCATGTACCTGTGCGAGTCATGAAAATTATAAATACATCTAGGAATTATTGAATTGTTGGATTTCAAATCAGTAGGGGTTGAGGCATCAAAAGTAACTAGCTGTTTTATGGATTATTATTACTGAAATCTTTTTAGGAATTAGTTACTCTACTAGTTACTGCAAAAAGTAATATTATTACAGTAACTAGTAGACTAACTAGTAACTAGTTACTGCCCAACACTGGTCAAACATACATGCAGAAGTTTACATTGGTGGGCACCATAGACTGTATAAAGGTGGGCACACAGAACTTGCAATATGCATAACTGTTAGCCAATCATAGCAGTGAGCATTTACTTCTGAGTTTACAATCTGCTATGCCTATTCAGACAGAGCATTCTGATGAAGGGGGTCAAAACAGGACAGAAACTAGCCTATTACTTATAAATTACGATGTTTTTTGACGTAAAAATCTTGATAACATTATAAGTGGACCTCAGAGAACAGTACAAAATAAGACAGTTCATGACCCCTTTAAGTCTTTTGCCAGTAGAGTGCACTGTATACGCTTATTGTCAAGTACATTTCTTGGAAGCGCTTTGCTTTCTCTGTTGTAAAAGCAAATTGTGCGGTTATTTTAACAGCTGTTGGTTTTAGGTTAGTGAAACTAGCAGATCAGATGGGGACGTTTTCCTGTAAAATGAAATGTTCAGAAATGATTTAAGAAAAAACAGTTCTGTTGTAATATGTTTTTCTGCTTTTTGTTTCAGGATGATCATGTCAGTTAATCGAGATCAGGTGTCATTCTGAAAGTGAAGCTTCGTTTAAGTCTAATTGTTTTGAATAGTCTACAATAATCCATTATTATGCTAATCAACACATGATTGAAATACTACCCATTTTTCTTCACCAGTCTAATCTGTCTCTGCCATGTGATTGTTTTCCACTTTTACACATGGTATACTATACTGTTGTCATCTATGTCTCTCTGACTGCTTTTTTCAAATGTTTACACCTGAACTAAATGAGCCCTATGGGTCAGCTAAAGTGAAACTGAAATGAGTAAGCATACCGGTGTGCACCTATGGTGGGTTGTGGTGAATCGTTTTTCCTGTAAATATAGGGTAGTAGTAAACTCAGCTGTTTACTACGATTCAAATATAATGATTAATACTACTGACTGATTGATAACTAATTATGTTTCATGCAAACATATTTGTTAAAGATATTTTAAAACTGGCAATTGAATTGAGAAGTGTTTTCTAAGATGTAAAAATGACCTGAACTTAATATATGATGAATTATTCTGCTATGCCAGTCAGAGATATAGTTTTATCAGATATTTTTTAGAGATGATCAGGTTTCTAGAAGAGTCAGAAGTAATCTTACAGATCTACAGAGAGAACAGTTAATCATACAACATCCGTTTATAGTCGAAACTGTATGTATTTATTCAATTACCAGTGAATTCTGCTGTTTATCAGATACCATAATTGTCTGACATAAAAAAGTAACACTTTGACATTGTTTATGTTTTACTTTTTATTATCATTTTCGTTTTTTTGTTTGTTTTTTTTAAATTTAATATAAGGGTCATAACCATCATAGACTTTAAAGTGGATATGTTCCCCCAATATTCAAAACAGTGGATTTTTCAATGGACGATTCTTAGGCTACTATTTTATAAAATGCTATAAAATATTGACTTATATAAGGATGCTGTGTGTTTAGCGTCATTTCGTTTTCCAAGTCTATGAATAAAAGAACATTGCCTTTAGATGTGTAGCTCATGTAAATATGGCATATGTTTGCTTAGGGTTACCGTCTTAATACAAATAAACCAGGGCTAAGACCTGATACTTCAACCATTAAACTGTCGTGAGACGAGATGACTTGGTGAATATCACGTGATTTTAAGTAAAGCGTCTGAAATGAAAGTGAAACAAAAGTGCATACATCACAGCAAGCTAAAAGATGAATTAATATACATAGGCTCCTCGTGAATTTAAACTGCAGTTGCTTGATTATAATAGGCTTTTTATGTGCATTATCACCAAGATCTTCGCCATTTTGAAGGTATTAGCTACAGAGCGAGAGAAATACCATTCCTAAATATAGTATTTTACTTTGCACATTGCATATTGAGAGCAGAGGGTAGTGTAAATAAGATAACTCGTGCATGAATTAAGGCATATGCTACTCTTCATCCAGACTGACAGTTCTTGGAAGAGATCTTCCAGTTATTCATATGCCAGAGGCGAGACCGCCTAGCTGATTTTTAAACTTTCGGTTTCGTTATCTTTTGTAATGGTCAGCCTATGAGAAGAATGATGTGTCACAACTAATCATGTAGCATCGCAGGAAATCATAACACAGTTCTGGAGAAGTTTTGGGTTAGTCAACATCAAACTGCATTTGCGGTAAGCAGGCTAGAGGTTTTTCATCTGAGACCGGAATGGAGGTGTTTCTTTACCTTTAATTTCACCGTGACGATATTCGTGTATTAGACAATGCTTTATGGAAACCCTTTCGGTAGCATAATAGTTATTATGAAAAGTGTAGGTAGACAATTGAACATTTAAACCCATGGAAACCGTTTTAATATCATGTGATACCTGGCAGTTCGAGAAAACATGTATGAGCTGGTATTTCAGAGAAGGCAGGGGGCTTCGCTTTTCCAGTGCCAGTTAAAACCTAAAATCTTAAAACCTTTTGTCTGAAAAGAACATTATAACATCAAGACTTTTAAAGCATTATGTAGCCAACCACAGAACGCTAGACAGAGTTATTAGTTATTTATGGTGGTTTTTATGTTTTAATGTGTTTAAAGTATAAAATGTATTGATATTAATTATTTTAATATTTTAAAATATGTTGTAATGATTTTATATGGATTTTGATTTTAGAGTATTTTACGCGTGATGTAAATTATTTTTCTTTGTCACTGACCCGTATTTGAAAGATGGTTTTCGAGTTAAGAAAAGTGAGAAGTTTCTACATATATTCTAAATATCATCGTTGTATCCGTGTTGTTTTCAGAAATTCGTCTTAAAAATGTTTGTACCGTTTTTGATTTAAAAAAAAAAGGTGGTGTAAACAATAACCATCAAGTAGTAGGCTACTAATACTTGCACTTTGAGACAGTACACAGCCCTCAGTGTATATAATGTTTATTTTTAATCATCAGATTTTAAAACATGATTTTTAGTTGTTTCGTTGTTGCTGTTTTAATAATTAATTTTATTTTCTTAGGGTTACTCCATATGACCTGTACAAAATGTGTCTTCTATGTTTTATGGTTTTCTTATCACATGGCAACAAAATAGCATCTTGTACCACACTGACTTTAATTTTCTGCACAAAAGCATATATTAATAATATTTTAAAACAAACTTTTTTTTTTGAGCATCATATTTATATGAATGGTAAGCTCTCTGTTTTGTAGTGAAGAATTTAATTAAAGCTGAGCAAACTTGAAATCAACATGTTTTCTCACACACACTCAATCACTTTCTCACACACTCACAGACTTTCTAGAATGTGTCCAGGCAAGAGCTGTTTCCACCTCTTGATGTTAGAACTCTCTGTTTCTGTGAACAGGCGGCACAGAATCATTCATCCATGCTTTGGGACCATGGAGGAATGGTATGAGTGGGCCCTGATTCAGAATGGTCCAGCATAATGACACTGACCATACAGTTGCGCGACAGAGCCCATCCAAGACGGCCGAGTGCCCCAAACCCTCTTCTGTCCCATCAACACACTTTCACCCCTTCCGGGACCAGAAGGAATGTGAACTCATCACCCAGGCTGTGGATTACCTGAACCACAGTGGATTTTACTGGGGTCCCTTGGAAGTAGATGAAGCACATGCACGACTGGCCAGACTTCCTCTTGGGACATTCCTGATCCGGGACAGCATGCAGGCGAATGTTTTCTTCACTCTCAGCTATCGGGCTCCTGAGGGCCCGACCAGTGTGCGAGTGCTCATAAAGGATGGAGGTTTCAGTTTAGCGGGCAGTAAACATACTTTCTCTTGCCTTTTTGGCCTGCTAGGATACTATATTGCATCCCCTAAAAAGAGTCTGAGTATGCCGTATCGTGGAGATGTGCCGCAGAGCCTACAGGAACTGGCGAGAAGAGCGGTGGTGCAGAGTTTTGGGAAAGATAGTATTCAACAACTGCCTGTGAGCAAGAAACTTAAAGAATTTCTGTGGTTGTACCCTTTTAGTATATGAATGTGTGTAGTCTATATGAAGATGTTACAGATGTTGCAGCTCTTTAACACAGTACAATTTATTGGGACCCTTATCTCAAAGTACATTTCATAAGGCATTGTCACATTAGTGAAAATTCCGTGATTTTGCGATTCAGCGATGTCCTTTGTTCATTGTCAATGGTGTAGCGACGCATGAAGTTACTTTAAAACCAAGTAATTTTCTTTCGGTCACGTGGCAACTTTGTGCAACCAACTTCAAGTTGGTGGTGCAACAAGCTCCCATCACCATGATTTCTATTGAAATGACTGGATAATGCTCACTAAATTCCACCTATAGGATTTTGTGCTCTTCATTGACCCAACTAGTACATGTATTTATGTGTGTAGTGATTGTTTGGACTCAGATATTAAAACATGCACTACAAAAGTTTAATTTTTTACATATGCAGCAAGATCACCACCACAAACACCACCACAACACCACCACTGGCCTTCGATTGCTTTAAAGCAATCTAGCTGGTACTGGGCCAGTGTTAGAGTTTGTATTTGTGTAAAATGAGTGATTTGACAACTTAGTTACTTTTACACAGTATTGTCTGTCTTTATATATGAATGTAAACCGATAATGCTCACTAAATTCCACCTATAGGATTTTGTGCTCTTCATTGACCCAACTAGTACATGTATTTATGTGTGTAGTGATTGTTTGGACTCAGATATTAAAACATGCACTACAAAAGTTTAATTTTTTACATATGCAGCAAGATCACCACCACAACACCACCACTGGCCTTCGATTGCTTTAAAGCAATCTAGCTGGTACTGGGCCAGTGTTAGAGTTTGTATTTGTGTAAAATGAGTGATTTGACAACTTAGTTACTTTTACACAGTATTGTCTGTCTTTATATATGAATGTAAACCACTGACCACCTGGTACTGGTGATACTGTTATCAGTATGAACTTTTGGATTGTTTTTATATACTGGTACATATGTACAATATGTAGGGTATATAATCTTTAATATGTATTGTATGGCAACATCATTCTGCTATGCAGAAATACACATTTCACCTCGTGAGACATAAGGGTTTGATTTGTTTAGGATTGCTTTTTATTAATAAAGATAAATTATTTTATGTGATTTGAAGTTGTTGTCCTCTCTCTCTCTCTCTCTCTCTGTCGATTTTTCTTTCACTTATTTTGTACTATAACGGGACTAGAAGAAACTAGAAGTTTCTTGTAATGTGACCCAACCCCCCAAAAAAAGAATCAGTAACCTCTCACTATCTTTACAGAAATTACCCCATCAAGGTGAAAATATGAGTTACATATACATCAGTCTCTGAATTTTTAAGTAACTACATATTTTTACTCTCTTTAGCTGTTTCATTTTACACTTTAACAACAGAATGATTTTTAAATGAAATGATCTTATATTATAATTTAAATTTGCCAATTATCACATGTTATCGTGTGCTTGTCTGGTCGACTGTGCATATTTAAAATAACTGGTCATGTTGTGTATTTTGTCTGGTCGCAAAATCACAGATTAAAAGTACAAACCATACACAAGCAAACATCCACAGACCACTGAGCTTATAGAAATCACATCCTTTTGGACAAAAACAGGAAAACTTTTTTTCCCCTCCATGTCTATTCCTTTGACCAATTTTTTTGCAGAATAAAACAGGAAGGCATGTTTTGTTCTTACATATCTAGCCCCTTATGCATACAAAGAGAAACACAATGAAAAATTATCTCAGTACGTTCATAATTTTTCAGGACAGAAACCTGAAACAAAGACATCCATTTCATTTACATTTATTCAATCAACAGATGCTTTATCCAGTGTTATTTAAGTATTATTTATATACTATTATAGTATTTATTAATATTTTAAGTTAGCTTTTATTTTTGTATTTTTTTTGTTTTGATTCAAGCTTTAGTAATTTTGCTATGCGATTTTCTTTTTTTTTAAGATTTCTATATAGTTTTATTTTTTATTTATTGATTGCATCCAGCTGACGCTGATCACAGCGTGAGCAATAAAAGGCAACCGGTGCAACGGTACAGCAGCCGTGGCGACGGGACGTGATGTCTCCGTTCCCTCCTTCAGGGAACGAGGGTTACATACGTAACCGAGACATTCCCTTTCAGTCGGTCACTCCGAGTCACGTGACCGACGAATTGAGATCCCTACAAAAGCGCCATGGATGCTGCCCCTTCCAGTGTCCTGTGCGAGCCGCCTGCACCCCTTTGTGGTGTAGGCCGGGGCTCGCATCAAGAAGACCAGTCACTGTTGTCATAGCACTACCCACTCAGTGAGATTGGATAACACTGGGAAAACGTACCCGTTCCACTTGGAACAGGGACGTTGCGGAAGCCCCATCCTTCCCAAAGGAGGTTTCGGAAGCAAATACACATATGAACATCCGTTTAGGCGCATATGGAAAATTGGAGGTGATTGTAACCCTCTTGGAAATGGCAGAAGTCTGCCGGGAAAACACGGGCTCTGAGGCTATACCGTGGACCTTACACATATGGGATCCACTTAGGTCTCACATATGGAACCCAGCCTTCTACCGGTTCTCAAGGATTCATCAAGTGAAGGCCTGTCGCCGTACGTTCCGCCACGTCTAGATGCTGTGGGGACGGAGGAGCTCGACAGGGTCTACAGTACGACACTCTGGAGAAGTTTCTAGCAAGCCGACACTAAACCGGGGCCTCTCAGTGCCTCTACCCATTTGAGGTGAGAAAGCAGGAGGATACCGGCTCCACAAGAAGGCTATAGGATCTAGCGAACGTGGGGGTCGCCCAGCCCGCAGATCTATAAGTATCTGTCAGCGAGGCGCCACGAGCCAGTGAACGGGGAACTGAATCGCATAGCTGAGGCTGATGGCCCGCAGAAGCCAACGAGACGGGTTGGGTAGCGCTAGCCAGGAACCCAGATACCGTGCAAACGGGACCAGCGGAACCACCGCCGTACCTGTAATGGGGAAGCGAGGTGGAACGCAGGGACCCAACTCGGGCGGCTTGTGAGCGGACCGAAGAGGGGTCTGAGTGTG